AAACTTGGTTCCTTTAGGGGCGCCTGGGTGACTCAGTCATTAAGCGTCTACCTTTGGCTCGGGTCATGGTTCCAGGGTCCTGGGATCGAGCCCCACATCAGGCTCTCTGCTCGGTGGGAAGCCTGCTTCTCCCTCTCCCACTCCCCCTGCTTGTGTTCCCTCTCTCACTGTGTCTCTCTCTGTCAAATAAATAAACAAAATCTTAAAAAAAAAAAACTCTTAAATTAAATAAATAAATAAAATAAAACTTGGTTCCTTTAACACCATAAGAGGGGGTTGTTTTTAATGTACTTGGACGACATGTAGGGACCCACATGGAGTACAAATACTCTAGTAAATAGAACCCATAGTGAAGGGCATGATAACAAAGAAGACAAAAACTGACTCAGCTATTGGGTAAAATTAGCTTCCCTGGTAATGGAGTTGCTAAATAGGGAGGAAGCAGGGGAATCTAAAGTATTCCATATTCACAGGACAAAGATGGGCAAAATGCAGCATCATTGGCCTGTCCAATGTCTATGCTAAAGGAGTGCTGGACCGTTTGAGTGATGGCCCATCCCAGATCTTCTCACAAGCTGATTGCCTCTCCACACTCTCCTGTGTGCACTCAGACCTGTTTCACATTTATTCCATGTTATTCTAGGCAGGACATGGTCAAGGAACAGAGCTGATATCTGGGACACTTGGGCAATATGAACTCAGAGGACAAAAAAATAAAAACACGTTAAGCCCGAGTAAAAAGATCGTAATCACACCACTCAAGTCAGAAGAATGTCACGAGTATTTTTTCCTTTTCATTTTGGCCTTAAACATGCTGATAGAAATGGACTTAATGAGAGTCAGCTGGGCCTCTTCATGACTAAATTTATGGATTTTGAAGCTGAACCTGATCATCAGAACAAAATTTTACAATGTTACTTTTTGTTTGTACCTGTTTATCAAGGTTTAAGCAAAATCAAGGGGCCTTGAAAAATACACAAATCTCATATATTGCTGATGGAAGTATAAGCTGGTACAACTGTTCCAAGAACTGTGGACTCCTGGCATGTGTCTCACAAGTCTTCAAAATGTGCACACCCTTATTCTAGGGATCTATGCTAAGGAAATATTCAGAAGGTAAATAAGATTAAGAGGCAAAGCTACCCATTCTAGAATCACTTGTAGTAGCAAAATATTAGAAAGAATTGTATTTTCTGGGGCGCCTGAGTGGCTCAGTTGGTTAAGTGACTGCCTTCGGCTCAGGTCATGATCTCAGGGTCCTGGGATCGAGTCCCACATCGGGCTACCTCCTCAGCGGGGAGCCTGCTTCTCCTTCTTCCTCTGCCCCTCCTCATAGCTCATGCTCGTGCTCTCTCTCTCTAATAAATAAATAAAATCTTTAAAAAATTAAATAAAAAAATAAAAATTCATGTGAAAAAATTGAAGCACTGAGCAAAAAATCTCTGGTAATACAATGTCTAAAAGTTCCCAAATCTATAATATAGGAAAGAGTTATGAAAACACAATGCAGGGCACCTGGCTGGCTCAGTTGGAAGAACATGCAACTCTTGATCTCAGGGTTTTGAGTTTGAGCCCCAGGTTCGGTGTGGAGATTACTTAAAAAATAAAATCTTTGGGCGCCTGGGTGGCTCAGTTGGTTAAGCGACTGCCTTCAGCTCAGGTCATGATCCTGGAGTCCCGGGATCGAGTCCCGCATCGGCTCCCTGCTCGGCAGGGAGTCTGCTTCTCCCTCTGACCCTCCCCCCTCTCATGCTCTCTCTCTGTCTCTCTCTCTCAAATAAATAAATGAAAATCTTTAAAAAAAAAAAAAAAGAAAGAAAGAATTGTATTTTCTAACCAAAGAGGAAATGGATTTTCAATTAGGATATATATGATGGAACCTTATGAAGCCATTAAAATGATGATGTAGATGTGATTTCGCTGACATGAAAATATATTGACCATATACCGCTGGTTCAATTAAGCAAATTTTCACTGAGCACCTACTACATGGAAGATCATGTCAGGCAGCAGGGACACAGCAGTGAATTCAGGTACAGTTCTTAACTGACTGACCAGAGCAATCAGATATTGAGGAAACAATGAGATAAGCACTAATACTAAAGACAAGCACAAAGTATTGTTAAGAGTAAGTAGCAAATGAATCTAACCTAATCCAAGGGGATCATGGGAAAGCCGACCTGAGGAAGTGCTGCTTCAGCAGTAATGAAAGATGCAAAGGAGTTAGACAGGCAAAGAGGCCGTGGGAAGAACATTCCAGGCGATGTTTTAAAAAAAACAGCAACTTTTTTTTAAGTATACACATTACATCAACTGTGTACATACAAAATGAATTTATATTAAAAATTTATTTTGGGGGTGCCTGGGTGGCTCAGCTGGTTAAGTGGCTGCCTTCAGCTCAGGTCATGATCTCAGGGTCCTGGGATTGAGCCCCACTTCGGGCTCCCTGTTTACCAGGGGGCCTGCTTCTCCCCCTCCCCCCTGCTCATGCTCTCTCTCTCAATAAGCATTTTTTAAAAATTATTTTGTATCTGTACATATTTACAAATATAAAGTCTGAAAGGATATAAACTATAATCTTATCTGTATGTTGTATTACATGTAATTTTTTATTTTTGTTTTTTGGCTTGTCTACATTTTCTCGTTTTTTTTTCCTGCAATGAACATATGTGAGTAGTATTTAGATGGGTAGATGGATGGGTGGGTGGAGAGACAGGCAGACGGCTGGCTGGCTGGCTGGCTGGCTAGATATATGGAAGGATACAAGGATGGACAGTAACCAGATTCAACAGAAGATTTGAGCTGGGCATCACATTAGACTGTCTTCTTCTTGATTTTTTTCCTCCCTTCAATGACTAGACTCCAAGATCTGCTCCAGAAGCATCTTTTCTATCTGTTAACAGAATCACCTTGTTTTGGTTAGGTGCTTCCACTACCCCAGAGGCAAGCTCATTAGCCACAAGTGGAGCCAAAACTACAATTCCAAACAGATTTCCTCTCTCCACACTGGACCTTCCAAGCCACACAGGCAAGAGAAGAAGGATGGGCAGAGCTACTTAGTGAAGGGGCAGCTAAGTAACTATTACAAACAAAATGAATTATTTTAAAGAGAGAGAGACGGAGGAAGGAGAGAGGGGAACAAAGAAATAAAAACCTTACTACTAGAGTATGAAACTATGCCAAAGAGAATGCAGCTCAAACCTTCCAGGTAGTAAAATTAGCTGGTTTTCTAAGCCACATTTTCCAGGCTACTAATTCCCAGCCCAAGGCTCACAGTGAGGTAAGAGTGTCTTGGTCTGCTTAGGAGAGGCATAGCTCCAAGTTGAGACCAGCTCCTTCACATGAGGAGCCAACAGGGAGCCCCAGGTGAGGAACTCTCAAAACACAAGTACTAAGTCACCCCCAACTAGAACCACTCTCACCCAGGATTCAGCAAAAATTGGGTGCCTGCACTCACCCATTCTTAGCAAGCCCACATTCATTCTTTCAAACTTCATTTATTTACTTCTCCTAAACACCATGCCCTGTGGTTGGCTCTGAGGATTCAACTGTGACAAGACATGGTGCTCAAATGCTCAAAGCTCACCATCAACCGTGGAGACATTTCATTCATTCATTTAAAAAACATCTGACTCCTACTGTGTACCAGATGCTTAGGATGTGATAGTAAACAACACCTCTGTCTTCATGGAGCTTACAGTCTAATGAGGAGAGAAAGATAAAAAGACACATCAACAACCAACAACAGGATTTTCAGACAGGGACAAATGTTATGAAAAAATATATAGTGGGGAACTATGGCAAGGATCGTCAGAGGGGGCCTCTCAGAGGAGACACCTGAGCAGTAAACTGCAGGATGAGGGAAGCCTGGGTGGTTCAGTCGGTTAAGCATCTATCTGCCTTCAGCTCAGGTCATGAGCCCAGGGTCCCAGGTTCGAGTCCCGCATTGGGCTCCTTGCTCAGAGAGGAGCCTGCTTCTCCCTCTGCCTGCCGCCTCCCCTGCTTGTGCACGCACTCTCTCTCCCTCTCTCTCTCTGACAAATAAAATCTTTAAAAAAAAAATTAAAAATTAAAAAAACTGCAGGATGAGAAGCAGCCGATACACCAAACGCCTGAGCACAGGCACAGCAGACCCCAGGAAACAAACAGGAACACAGAGGGATGGTGACCATGCTCAAAAGCAGCACTGGGTACTTGGCGATCGTGGGAAGGAACACCTGACCCAGTCCGAGGGTCTCACCCAGCCCAGCTGGCCCTCGGTCAGCAGTGATTTATAGCTCAGGGGAGGTACTGTAAAGTACTACAGACAGGAAGTTCCGCCCATGGGTTTCAAGGAATTCAGTCTCACATGTGAACTAGTTGGACAGGGCTATTTGGCATGTACAGGAAGCAGGGACTCTAGAAAGTTGGTAAAAGTGCTGAAACTGAATGCCAGATGGCGAAAATTCCTGTCTTACTCTCCCCTCCAAGGCCCACCATCACTTCTCCCTAATCTCTTCCACACTCCTGTAAAGGCCCAAGGAGGTTCGAAGACCTTGCCTGGTAGGAATGGCTAGGGAAGGACAAGCTAGTCCAGCATGGGGCCAGGCATCAAGAAACCAAGTTCCACTCATTTACTGTGTGAGCTGGGGCAAGTCCCTTTCCCTTTTCTCGGCCTTAGTGTTTCCCGTCTGCAAAATGGAAGATCAGAGGCGTGGGGATGAGCCAAGAGCCTACATGTCTAAAAGCTCCCCTACACAATTATGATGTGCATGCCAAAGTCTGAGAACTAATAACCTGATGCTACTTCTTCTTTCCTCGGAGTGGGTAAGGGGCTGCACGCCAGGCTGGGTGCATCAAGTCCTCCATGGTGCAAAACATAGTCTCTGGCACACAGAAGCTCCTCATAGTGAGTGTCACAGCATTCTCTCTCCGCCCTCCCCTCATGCCACCACCCGAAATATTCCCTCAGCGGGGCTGCGGGCCCGAAACTGTGGGTTATTGTTTGCCCCTCACCGTACCTGTGAACATTGCACAGAAGTAGGGGCTGCAGGCTGCCAGGACCACACGGTGGGCTTCTATCTCGACATCTTCCGCCACAATCATCACGTCACACAACAGCTGTTTACTGTAAAACACCAGTGAGGGGACAGCATGGGTCACAGTACCAATGCCCACCCCCAGCCACACAAGGATATGTTTTTCTTCCACCCAGATTCCACGCTGCCACCATACAAGGCTGTCACAGACATTTGCCGTGCCGAGTTAAGGCAGGGGGATGAGCTCATCGACTTTTCCAAGTCCCTGATAAACCTGGCATTCATGCTTTCCTAAGGCACACAGAGAGATCCAACTACCCCGTACTGCCAATTCAGGTCTCCTTCATTTGTCTTCACATCTCTGTTCCTCGACTCCAGCAGCTCTGACTGAGATGGTAAGGGGTGGGGGGAGGACAGCAGCTCAGAGAGCAAGGGGGGAAGCCTGGGGCTATGCGTTGGGTGACTGCCTGAATGCCAAGGAGCATGCCACCAAGGTGTGCCACCAGTGAGAACAAGTATTAACAATCCCCCAGGGGATCCAATATCTATGAAATACTGGTAAGAGGCAAGCCAGGTCTGGAGGCCTCAAATATTCATCTTCCCACCCAGATTTAACATTATCACCAAGAAGGTTACTCCTGAAGACCCTGTGCAAACTCCAATCCTTGCAATTGTTAAGGATACTATAACTACCTTTTTACTTGTCATCCCCACTACACTGTGCCCTCTGAAAAGGACTTATTTACTGTTATATCCTAAACACCTGGCTGCAAGCCTAGCATATAGAAAGCCCTAAGTTTTTACTAAATAAATGAATAAATGAATAAACCCTAAAAGGGATCAATCCACACTCATAGACAGAATGAATATTAGACTACTTTGAAGGATTGAAAAGGTTCCACAAGACCATTTCAACCCAAGAATTTTTCTCCCACCAGCCTTCCAATAGTTAACATTTATTAAGTTCTATGTGCTAGGCACTGTTCTAAGCACTTTTTTATACCTAATATTTCATTCATTCCTCTCTAAAACCCCAAGAGATAGGGTTATTATTATGTTCCATATTACAAAAAAGGAAACTGTGGCCCAGAGAAGTTAAGTAATTTTCTCAAGTTCATACAAAAAGGGAGTAGTGGAAACAAGACTTGAATGGAGGTAGCTAAATTCCAGAACCCATGTTCCTAACATCCAAGGTTACCCGGTCACCACTAATCCCTCCTTCAGAGTGAAGCACTAGAGGTGGGAGGGAAGACAGGACAAACACATGTCAACTGCAATCCAGTGGCAGTGGTTACTTAGTGCACTACACTGGACTGAAAAGTCTGAGTCATGACTAGGCTCCATGTGAGAGCAATAAGATGAATATAATGAGTCTGCCAGGATCAATTGATGGAATAGAAGCTACCTATTTGTCAGCCCTGGTGTCGCATATTAAACCTTTGCCAACTATTCAGACATTAGTCCAAGACTGCTTATCAGAGAAATAGAATCATAAGGCCTGAAAAGGCTAGAGCTGTAAATGCCAGATGATCTATGACGTTCAGAGAGGTGGCCCAAAACCACGGAAGGCTGAGTCTTGAGTCTAGTTCTGACTCTGGATATACTACCATAATGACTCATGATTGGCTGATACTTTGAAAGAGAAAACAACAGAAGAGAAGTTAGCTCCAAGAGGGAAAGGTGAAAAGAATAAAGTCCCCATGAGGGGGCTTCTGGGAAGGGTGAGACCTCCGAGCAGCAAGAGGCAAAACCTGGGGATGGGACCTCACCCTACAGTGGACAGCAGGCTCTAAATATAAATTTTATCAGAATAAACCAGCTCAACTGGGAAGAGAACTGGCTCTGCCCCTAACTGGCTATGAGAACATGGACAAACAATCTCACCACAGTATTCTCATCTTTCTTAGTGGATGTCCGTTGACCGTGGGGACCAGATAAGATTGCAAATGCCATCTGAGAACAGGCTAGTTTTTTTTTATTATGTTATGTTAATCACCATACATCATTAGTTTTTGCTGTAGTGATCCATGATTCATTGTTTGCGTATAACACCCAGTGCTCCATGCAGAACGTGCCCTCTTTAATAACCATCACCAGGCTAACCCATTCCCCCACCCCCCTCCCCTCTAGAACCCTCAGTTTGTTTCTAAGAGTCCATAGTCTCTCATGGTTCGTCTCCCCCTCTGATTCCCCCCCTTCATTTTTCCCTTCCTACTATCTTCTTTTTTTTTTTAACATATAATGTATTCTTTGTTTCAGAGGTACAGGTCTGTGATTCAACAGTCCTACACAATTCACAGCACTCACCACAGCACATACCCTCCCCAATGTCCATCACCCAGCCACCCCTTCCCTCCCGCCCCCCCCACTCCAGCAACTCTCAGTTTCCTGGGATTAAGAATTCCTCATATTAGTGAGATCATATGATACATGTCTCTCTCTGATTGACTTATTTCGCTCAGCATAATACCCTCCAGTTCCATCCACGTCGTTACAAATGGCAAGACTTCATTCCTTTTTGATGGCTGCATAATATTCCTCTCTCTCTGTGTGTGTGTGTGTGTGTGTGTGTGTGTGTGTGTGTGTACACATCTTCTTTATCCATTCATCTGTTGATGGACATCTTGGCTCTTTTCATAGTTTGGCTATTGTGGACATTGCTGCTATAAACATCGGGCAGCACGTACCCCTTCAGATCACTAAATTTGTATCTTTGGGCTAAATACCCAGTGTTGCAGTTGCCGGGTCATAGGGTAGCTCTATTTTCAACTTTCTGAGGAACCTCTATACTGTTATCCAGAGTGGCTGGACCAGCTTGCATTCCCACCAACAGTGTAGGAGGGTTGCCCGTTCTCTGCATCCTCGCCAACATCTGTCGTTTCCTGACTTAATTTCAGCCATTCTGACTGGTGTGAGGTGGTATCTCATTGAGGTTTTGATTTGGATTTCCCTGATGCCGAGTGATGTTGAGCACTTTTTCATGTGTCTATTGGCCATTAGGATGTCTTCTTTGGAAAAATGTCTGTTCATGTCTTCTGCCCATTTCTTGATTGAATTATTTGTTCTTTGCATGTTGAGTTTAATAAGTTCTTTATAGATCTGGCCAAAATTTATTGTAAAAATGTATTCCCAACATTTTCACTTCACTTTCCTTAAAAATTTTAGGGAGACAATGGAGTTCTCTTATCACTACTATTTAAAAGTACAAGTAACTTGTCAACTATACTTCAATTTAAAAAAAAGAACAACTGACCAAAAAGTACAACTGTTGTTGTTGTTCTCATAATCAGTATTTTAATAAGGAAAAGTAAAACAGATGAGTCAGAAATGGTGAGCAAAAGCTGAGCCAGATGCTGAAAAGGGAAATGTCAGAGTGGGATGTCTTGCACAAACCCAGAGGAGCTGATTGTTCATGAACAAATGGGAAAGAGACAAGAAGGAATGAGGAATAAAGATGGAGAATCCAGTTAAGCAAATGAATGAGAATGGTTCTGATGGACTGGAAGTGTATCTCAAGGCTAGAAAAACTGCAGCCTAGGAAAGTGACCAAGACAAACTCGCCAGAAACTCAATGTTGGCTTTCCCTGGGAATAGTAAAGCCTGTCTGCACACTGGAGTGTATCCACTCTGTATGAAAAAGAGAAGAAGAAGCTCTAAAGCACTGCATGGCTCAGAAGCATTTCTAATTCCATTTATTAGAAATCTTATAGGATTCTTTTTTTCTGGAATATTACTCAGCCATAAAAGGGAGATGTCATTTGTGACAACATGGATAAAACTAGAGGGTATTATGCTGAGTGAAATAAGTCAGACAGAGAAAGCCAAATACCATATAATTTCACTTATATGTGGAATCTAAAAAAAACATGAATTGAAAAACCCCTCAAAACAGACACAGGCTTGTAAATACAGGGAAAAAATTGGTGGTTGCTAGAGGAGAGGGGAGTGGGGGAATGGACAAAATGGGTAAAGGGAATTAAGAGGTACAGACTACTGTACCTTGAGATTGTTCTTTGGAGTAGTGTGTGTCACAAGAAAAAATAGGGCTATATACTTTGTGATAGCTGTTAGGAAGGAGCTCAGGCCCTGGAATCAAAGTGACCAGGGTGCATGTCCCCTGGATATCAGAATTCAGATGTGTTATAAACAAGATAATGAATAGTGCTAATAGTAAGCATTCAGTAAATGTTAACATTTCTTTTTTTCCACAAAACACTTCATTTAAGATTAGCAGTTAAGTTAAAACTGTTAAGGTTAAATTTGAGCTGCATATTAGACATCTAAGTAGGGTTTATCAAGTAGGGAAATGGATACATGAGTCTTAATTTCAAAGGTGGGAGATGGTTAAGAGGTCAGAGGGAAGAGAAAGAACCAGCTAAAGAAATGAGAAAGTAACAGTGAGACAGGAGGAAAACCAAAAAAAGCATGGTGTCCATTAAGTCAAGTGAAGAGAGGGCTACAAAAAAGCAAGGAATAACCAACTATACCAAATACTACTGATAAGTAAGAGAAGATTAGGATTGCTAGCCAGGGCAATTAAGCAAGAAAATGAAATAGAACATGAAAATGAAAAACATGCAAATTGAAAAGGAAGAAATAAAACTATCTCTATTCATACATGACATGATCTCATATATAGAAAATCCTATAAGAAATACACCAAAAAAAATTAAAACAAATGAGTTTAAGAAGGTTGCAGAATATAATATCAATAAACAAAATCAACTGTATTTCTATACACATGCAATGAACAAAAAATGATATTAAGAAAAATTCTATTTATAATAGCATCAAAAAGAATAAATACTTAAGAATAAACTTAACAAAAGAAGTACAAAACCTATTCTCTAAAATTATTAAACACAGCTGAAAGAAATTAAAGAGGGCAACCCTCTCAGGTCCCCTCCCTCTTTGGGAGCTTTGTACTAACGTTCAATAAACTTTCCTTTGCTGCCCACCAAAAAAAAAAAGAAAGAAAGAAAGATATTAAAGAAGACCTAGACCTCCAGTGTTCATGGATTGAAAGACTTAATATTGTTAAATGGCAATACTCCCCCAAATTGTTCTACAGATTCAACACAATTTCTAT